AAGGTGTTTCCTTGGTGGTGTTTCTGGGAAGGCGGTGCCTTGGGCATGTCCACATGAGTAAGGAAAAGAATTGACAGAGGAGATAGGAACGAGAAGAAAGAGGGTACCAGATAGGCCCATTTGGTGCACAACACATGTGGAACTCACACACACATCTGCGGAAATCCCAGCATTCTCACCCCCCTGCACATTACAGCTGAACTTACAGAAGGTCACCCAAGAGAAGCTTTGATCCCTCTGAGGCAGAAGCTCAGAAATCCAAAACGTCTTGCTCTGATCCACTAAGGTGCGCCAATCATCTCGCTGGCGAGATCTACACCCCAGATGGCTGTGGTCATCCACAGGGCAACGAGTGTCTCAGTGTTCTGGAAAGTAGTCGCCTGTGCTATAGTTTGCATACGTGTCCCATTCAAACCTCATGTCCAAATTTATGCCGAGCATTGGAGGTGAGCCTAATGGAAGGTGTCTGGGTTGTGAAGGCAGATCCTTCATGAATAGATTAATTCCCTCCTGGGGGTTGTGGCTTCAGGGATTTCTTGCTCTGCTGACTCCCACGAGGGCTGCTGTTTAAAGGCCTGGTCCCTTGCCCCCTTGCTTCCTCTCTGCCACATGATCTCTGCGCACACCAGCTTCCCTCCACCTTCCACCATGAGTGGAAGCAGCCTGAAGCCTCACCAGAATCCCAGCAGATGTTGGTGCTATGCTTCCTACTCAGCCTGTAGAACCATGAGCCAAATAAACCTCTTTTCTGGATAATTACCAAGCCTTGGGTATTCCTTTATAGTGACACTCAACAGACCTGTCACAGGGATGATCCTTCTTACTAACATGCATCCTTCAGTCAGTACAAGAGGAGAGTGCAGAGCAGTAGGTCAGCAAGCCCAGCGGTCATGGACTCCACAGGCGTTTCTGCATGCTACCAGCTGCGTCTCTTTGGGTATGCTCCCCTTCTCTATCAAGTTTTATCTATAAAATTCAGTTAGCAGTGCCTATGTTGAAGAGCACTGTGAGACTTTAATAAGATACCAGATGAACATTTCTGAGCTCCTGGCACACAAGTAGCCCTTTTAAATATTAACATCTTGTAAATCTCTCTCAAGACTTAAAGCTGTATCTCCTACACGTAGACCAAGACGATCAGTGTACAAAACGCCTATCTGATCTGTGCCTTTCCAGCCGCAGACTTTCCCCTTAGCCTCTTTCCTAACTAATCCGTCTCACCTTCTCAACGTCTCATGTTGGAGGGTTCCCTTGGCCACTGTGTTATCCACCTCTGGCTTTTGTCTACTTCCTTGAATTTTAGTAACAGATACACATATCAACTCAGAAACAGGCATACAATACCTTTATGGTGCTGGTAGGCCACTGTGCCACGTTCCCCACAGTCTCCTGCCTACTGATCCACACAGGCTGCTGATTTTGCCACCTGAAGGCTCACGTTGAATTAATGTCATCAAGGAATAGTTGACAATGATCTCAGTCTCTTTCGTCTGTCAGATTTGACAAAGTATGTTCTAAATGTACTATGGGTTATTTCCAAAAATACACTCCCTTAGCTTTTCTTCCCTGAAATTCACGTTTCACTTGTCTCTCCCATCCTGAGGTCTTCTTATAGATTATCCAAGTCAGTGACATCTACTATCAGAGGCAAGTTTTGTTTTAATGTCACCCGATTAGCCCATGTTATCAAATCCTTCCTTAAGTTTCAGGTAGGAGTCACCTAATTCTGGAGACACCCGAGTACCTGATTAGATCCTTGACCTCCCTCCCCAGTGGAAGAAGCTCCATTCCTCTTCCACAGACATTAGAAGCCTGTATGTATTTGATTCCCTATGAATTATTTTTTGAGATACAGTCCTGCTGTCGCTGGGCTAGAGTGCAGAGGTACGATCTCAGCTCATTGCAACCTCTGCCTCCTGGGTTCAGGCAATTCTCCTGCCTCAGCCTCCTGAGTAGCTGGGATTACAGGCACGTGCCACCACATGCAGCTGATTTTTGTGTTTTTAGTAGAAACGGGGTTTCACCATGTTGGCCAGGATGGTTTCGATCTCCCGACCTCATGATCCGCCCACCTCAGCCTCCCACAGTGCTGGGATTGCCGGTGTGAAACACCACGCCCAGCCTGGAACTCATCATTTTTAGACCCATGTTCCTTCTCCACTGTGAGAGCCCAAAAAGCAGGTTCCGTTTTGTTCATCATTCTATGCCTGCGCAGACGGCAGTGCTTAGCACACACGAGGCACAATTTGTTTAGCAAATTCAGAAGGTTGAAAACTTTCCGCACCTTTTCTACAGTTTTAAAGGCTAAGATCTTCTGATTCAGTGAAACCTGCATGTTTATCCAGTTCCAATTTACCTCTTTGAGTACGGACTCTAATATCGTATTCCTTAAAAATGAATGTCGAGCTTCTGCAAGGATGCAGGGTCAGGGACTTTGTCACCTCTAAGGCCAGCTCGTCTAGTGCGGCAGAGCCTGACCCACAGGTGGCATCTGACGTTGGCGCCTCACCAGCCTGTTCCTTCCACCACACAGTAACGATTCTACATGCAAGAAATATCCATGCCAGACCTCCAAATATGTCACAGCGGTTCATCTAATTTGGCGAGGTCTTACACCCTACCTTTAGAGTCCAGTAACCCTGTCCTGGGAACATTCTGACCCACCAATGCCCCTCGTTTAAGACAGTTCCCAGAAGAGCAGGACGTAAGGAGAGTGACGTACACAGCTCAGTGGGGCTCACGCTGTGACCTGAATACTGTTCCTCCATGGACAATTCTGGCCACAGAAAAAAGTGAGATGCAGTCCCCTTGTCCTCTTGCCCTTTAAAACTTGAAACTCCTAGCAATGAAGTTAGGAATTTATTCTTGGCAGATCAAATAACCCATCCAAGGGTTTGGAATGGGAATCTCCACATCTTCCTCAGTTGAAAAATATGAACAGGAGACAGCATCTGCTATGGTAGGAACGTCCGTGTTCCCACCAAACTTCATACGTTGAAACCTGCTACCTGATGTAGTTGTATAAACAGGTAGGGTCTTCGGGAGGTGATCAGGGTCATGAGGGAAGAGCTCTCAGGAGTAGGATCAGGGCTCTCATCAAAGAGGCCCGAAGGGGGCTTGTTCATCCCTACCCCACAAGGACACAGCAAGAAGGCACCATCTAAGAAGCAAAACGCCCTCCGCAAACACAGAACCTCCTGCACCTTGATCTTCAATGTCCTAGCCTCCAGAACTGTGAGCAATAAGTTTCTTTAAAAGTTGCCCGGTCTTAGGTATTTTGTGATAGCAGCCTGAAAGGACTAAGAGCATTCTTACTGTCGTTGTTTCACTACATTTGTCTACCCTATAAAGAAATCAGAGAGGGGGATGTGTGACTGTCACCTGCTTCCCTGATGCCTGTAAGTTCCCCTTCCTTGACGCCGTCCTGAGCCCCGGTGCCTCAGCCGACAATAAGGAAATCAGACATCCCAAGAACTCGTTATGCAGGTCAAGATCAGGGCATCTCAGATTTTCTTTCTGCAATTTTACGATAATGCCTTTTAAAAAGGTAAGACTGAGAACATTAATAACATACCACACATTGTAAATGCAGCACTGTTTGAAACAGCTTAAGGAAGGGGAGATAAAGCTGCCACCGTGGACGAATCCATGCATGGTAAGGATTTAGACTGTTGGCAGGGGCAACGGGTCAAGATACCCAGTTTCTGCACCTCGCATGACATGGGCAAATTGCAGACATGGAGACCCCGTGCCACTGCCTTCCACCCAGTCCCACCTGGCAGGACGTCCAGAGCCGCCAGGGGTGACGTCGCGTCCTCACTAGGAGTGGTGTTGCCACTTCCTGGTTTTGCACACACACCCTCCTCAGAAGACCAGCCATCCAAGAGGAAGGAGGTTCTAAACAGTGAGGCACAAACCTCGGCTGAGTTAGATACGGTCTGCACTTAATCCAAAGGCCTTCCATAACAGCATTTTCACTGCAGAGTAGAGAGGACGTGTACCCAGGGCTGGGTGGTTACCGTATCGCAGGAGCCAGGCTCAGGTGGGGGAATGATGCCCGGTGCTGCTCAGAGTTCTGTTTGCCGCCCAGCACATCAGGAACTTATCTAGTCCCTTCTTTCTTCGGCCAGTAGAAACATAGTTACGTCTTTCAACTTAAAAACACATTGTATCTTTTTAAATTAGCATCTTTATTGCATCTCCTGGTCCTAAGTCTCTTCTTGCTGTCTCATAAGGAAACCTAGCAAACCACATGGCCAGCCCCTCTGTGTCCCCACATTTTTGACACAATTATTTCCTCCAGGGGTGGCTGAGTCAGACTCCTTCTGTGTCCATCCCTGTATGTCTGTACAGGTGACAGTGCAAGGGTAATAACAGTGAGTACATTCAGTGGGGAAATAAGACGTGTGCTGTGAAAAGAATAAGAACACAGCATCTTCCATTAAAAAAGCATATGTGGCCGGGTGCGGTGACTCACGCCTGTAATCCCAGCACTTTGGGAGGCTGAGGCGGGTGGATCACGAGGTCAAGAGATCGAGACCATCCTGGTCAACATGGTGAAACCCCGTCTCTACTAAAAATACCAAAAATTAGCTGGGCATGGCGGCGCGTGCCTGTAGTCCCAACTACTCAGGAGGCTGAGGCAGGAGAATTGCCTGAACCCAGGAGGCGGAGGTTGCGGTGAGCCAAGATCGCGTCATTGCACTCCAGCCTGGGTAACAAGAGCGAAACTCCGTTTCAAAAAAAAAAAAAAGCGTATGTATGTCCTGGAGTCCACAAAAGATTTGAAAAAAGCAAAAACAAAACACTTGGGCCATCTGGGCATCAGAACATCTCTTCAGATGAACAATTCTGTGAATCGCCCTAAAACTCTTCTAGAAATAAAGGGCATTAACACTTGGTTTATGTTCAGCCAACAAAAATAAATCATCACAGATCAAAGCAGGCTATCGGACGACTTAAGCCACCCTGTAAAATTGGGGAAAAATGTCTTACACATCTCAGAACTCCAAGATGTTTTTATTTATTTCAAATTCCAATAGAATGAATATGTTTTCTCTAAATACTTTTATCACACAACTAAAACATCGAATTACTTTTTCAGAAATAGAGTTAAATACATCAATCTAGTTACAAATTCTAATATAAAGAGTACAAAATATAATGTTATAAATTGTATTTTAAAAAAGGAAATACAAATTTCTATGGTCTTTTGCATTTTACTGCCTCAAAGTAGAATTAACAAAGTTGATGAAGAATGAACATTTTCCCAGGCAGGCGGCCCCCAGGTCACTCCCTGTAGGCCTGTTACCAGGTTCCAGAGTGTTCTCCCACCAACCACAGCAAACAAAGATGTCCTCCTCCCTTAAGTCCTGGCCTGTGGTTTTTTCATCTTTTTTTGCTCAATGAATAAAACATTCTGAAATTAGAACTCACCAAAGTTAAAAGCAGTAAAACAACATATGCTACTTAAGACATTTTGAAGTGGAAAGTAAAGCTATCCGAATGCCGGTCATCCTTCCTTCCTTTCTTCCTTCCTTTTCTACAGCCTGGAAAGCTCTCAGAACTCGCTGGGAGTGGCAGAGGACGGTTTTGTCTAGTTTGAAGGAAGGAATGGTGCAGACAGTCTCCGGCCACAAAAGCCCAGGAGGTGCCCTCTTCCACACAACAGACCAAGACTGCACCCATGTTCCTTCAGCTCGAAGACATCGCTACTCACCCTGTCACTTCACTCTGTCTCCTCTCTGTCCAAAGAACAGATGGCGACCAGAGTTGCCAAGGAGAGGCATCATGGAGATGAAACTTGCCCTTTCTTGCTCAACCCTGCACACTGAAGGAGTGCGAAGATGATGAAAGCCACAGGCGCCGGAGCCGCGACCGAGGGGTTCTCGTGTGCTCAGTGACTTGTGCATGGTGGCCGGATGGGGCAGTGGCCTGTCATGCGAGGCGCTCCTTTCTCTGGCCAAGTAACTGTATCCAACTCCCAACTGCTACTTCCTGAAGCACCTGCTTTTCAGGAAACCAGTGTCTTTCTTGGTTTAAAAAAATTAAATAAGTAAATATTGGGGGAACCTCTTAAAGCATTTAATACTTTTCAGAGCCTCAAAGGCAAAATTCACTTGGTTTTGAAGCCAAATCTGTATGGTGCTGATGAGAATGAAATCTGCCCGTCTAAGATTACAGTAAGACCTTCCGGGAACCAAGCAGAAGGTGGGCAGGTACAGCGGCCACTTTCCCAGAGAAGATTCTCAGTATCTGACTTTTGGGAGAATTTAAATATTCATTCTTCAAATTAAGGAATACAAGTGAATAACCTGAAGGGTTTTTAGAAGCTCATTAGCGGTGTGTTATTTGAATGCAAAAATGAGGAAGAGACGTGAGCGGGGAAAGAGGCGGGTGCGGAAGGCAGGCCAGGGCGGAGCCAGGCCCCAGCAAGGGCGGGGCGGACAGCAGCGAGCCGAAAGCAGGGGAGAGACACCCAAAGCTGCAGTGTAGACAACCAAACCCTTTATTGTCTAAGTTACATTAGACGCAACACTGTAAAAACTCCTGTTAAGAAACAAGGAAACAGCAGATCGGGAGAGGTAGTAGAAAGTCTGTAACAGTCAGAAGACGACGTACAGAAGTGTATCATGCAGAAATCACCGTTTGGAAAAGAAGGGAGTCAAACAGTGGCTAAATAAATAAGAAAACACAAATCATATTAAATACTATGACCAAACTGACATCAACAAATTAACAAACCAACACAATACTGATGATCGGTGGAAGGAAGGGCCCAGACATCCAGGCATGCCACAGCTGGCCTCCAGGGGTGGTGTTCTTGGGGGACCCCCAGTTTGTCTGGGTGAAAACCCGCACTCTGCACCCCCTGCGTGGCCCTGCAAGCCGGCTGTCCTCCACCCCTCTCCTGTGAGCCAGGTAGGATCCAGCCCACGGCCGGCGGGGCCCCAGCACCAGCCCACTCCCCACCACACTCTCCAGGATGGAGACTCGCCAGCAGGACACGTCCAGCTCTAAAGGCCAACTGCGCTTTACCATGCTGCTTCTGAAACAGTAAAAATGTAGACTACACTTTTGTGTCACTTTGGGTACAGAATTTCTTTTTAATAACTAAAACACAGAGAAACAGGACCAAATCACTAATCCCTGGCATTCCTAACAGTCGTCATCCACTTTCAGCCAAGAAACCAACAACCAGGAAATGCAGAAATGATCACCAGTGGGGAAACTACCGAAATGATTCGACATAAATCAAAGAAGAGGATTCTGATGTTTCAGGTGGACAGAGGAATGTGTCTCCGCAACTTTGCTCAAAATAACTTTACAGAACAGTCAATTACAGTTGCTTCACTGTATCTGCATGACATTCCTAATTACACCAACAGGACACATCATTTTCGTACATACCTGGCTTAAGAATATCAGAAAAAAAAAGTAAAAAAAAAAAAAACACACATATATATATATATGCATACATATATATATAAGCTAGCCAGTTACATTGCATTGTTTGAAAGTGTTGCAAGTAATCTGAACCGTCAAGTAATTCAAACTCAGTAACAAGTAGAATCCAGAACCAAACATTAACTAATAACAATAACAACAATAATAATAATATAATAATAATATTCAACAAATCATTAGAACAGGAAACCCACACTTTAGGGGGTGTGTGTATGTGTGTGTGTGTGTGTCTCTGTTTAAACAAGACTTTGTATCAGAAGCCCTCTGTCTACAAAAACTGCCCTACTCCATTACTGTATGAAGTAAACTGTCGCTCTCACCAGTATTAAAGGTTAGGATAATTTCTGTACATGTAAAATTATTGCTTTCTTGAAAAATATATTTAGCATGCTCGTTTTAATCCGTTTCCTGCCTTTACAAAATTTCACAATTAAAAAAAAACCTAGTAAAGCTTTTGCAAAAAATTTCACAGAACATTTTCATTCAAGGCAGCAGTAACTTTTGATAATGCATAAAATCATAATGTGCAAAAATCTGAAAGTCTCAGAAATACTGCCATCACACACAGTGTCACGGCAATGGGAAAAGAAAATATTTATATCTGTGGAATACAATTTCAACTGCGTACACTGCATGGTTTAAGATCCTTTGCTATGGGCCTTAACCCCCACCACAAAAACTTGCATTTGCATTACTGAGGAAGAGGTATATAGAGCTTTCCCCCACCCAAGGGGCTGGTGATCCCCACCCTTTGTGAACAAAGTTCCTCATCCTGTGGAGGTCACCAGGCCCAGGGAAAAAAGACACCCACTCGCTGGGGTGGCACAGGGAAGCGGGGGAGGCAAAGAGTGGGGACAGAAGGCGCCAGAGCTCAGCACCCTAGCACTCTAGGGCTCCTGAACCTGCTCGTGGCTTCTTCTGCCATTACTAAAACAGGTCCGAACCGGGAGGACTCAGTGGCTAAATAATTTAAGACGTATAGTCTTCCTTTATAAGCAGTTTGCAGAATGTAGCCCTGTTACAAAAAGGTCCTGAGAATAAACAAGAAGCCTGCTTTTCTTAGTGTTCACTAGCTCTCTTCCGAAGCAGAATCTACGCATTCCCACAGACGTGTCTCCTTTGCCGGATTCGCTGAGTTCGAACGGTGAAAAGAATGGAACCAGCACACGGCAGGTGCACGCAGCCCCCAGAGGAATGCGAGGGAACCAACGAGTGATGCCCGTCTCATCATCGTGCCCCTCCACCAAGCCTGCTTCCCACAGCACCTGAACATCACCTCCTTCCTATTTACTCTTTTAAATACCCACTAAGACAAGGAAAGGCAGTAGTATGAATACTCGATCAAGCTCAAATCCACCACGGCTTGTTCTGACATCATCTCCACAGTCCCTCTGAGCGTGGGAGGCCCCTGAGACAGTGCTCAGCCTCGCCACTCTGTCCAACACACACAACAAGTATCTTTTTTTCCAGTGTCTCAAACTTGTCTCGAATAAGATAGATGCCTTGTGCCTCTACTGTGCCTGCCAGTACTACTTTTTATTAGAAGGAAATATGGATCTATGGGCGATGAGCACGTATATGCGTATATAGTATCTACATGTATTTCTAGAGTAGAGCATCTTCATTTATTTCTGAACATTTAACAAGGACAGGCATCTGCCTTTCGTTTCCACTCCAGTGCAGCGGCTTGGGATGTGAGGTGTCTGCTCGGGAGTCCTCCAGCGGTTCTTCCTTGGAGTGGCCAGGTCACGGTGGGAGGCTGCGGGGGCATCCATGAGGGTGCTGCTAGCGGCCGTGACAGGGACCCGGGGTGCGTCGGAACATGCCTTTAGGTTCCCTTTCTGAGAGGCACTGTCTGGACGGTACCTGTGTTAGAATGGTCTCTCCCCTGTGTGAGAAAAAGGAAAGAACAGTAGAAAAGCTCATTTCTGCCTTTTGGTTTCTAAATGCATTTTGCTTACTAATTTCCCAATCAACATCCAAGAACAGAAGCACTGACCTCCACAGAGCAAGCCAAGTAGGCAAAGACCCCCTGGCTTGAGCTGTAACTCATTTTATACGAGCAGGAGGTATTTTTAATTTGCCTTGCTGCCTTGAAGACAGGTGGCTTGAAAAATAAAGTCATTTCCAGTGTGATTGAGAAAGGATTGTTAGACGTCTCTGTTTCACATGTAAGAGTGGTAAATGACAGTATCTGAACTGGCTCTGGAGAAAAGGTTACAGGTTGGCAAGAAGGGAAGGAGGCCAAAATGTAGAATTTTATAGTACAAAGCAGATTTACAAGTGAATGATAGTTCCAAAACAAGGCTGAATCTGGGCCATCCTCACAAACAGAAAGGCACAGCTCTCACACAGGTCTGTCAGAACGGTGCACCCATTTCCATAAATAATTACCACGTTGGAAAAAGAGAAAGGTTATTATAAAGTGAATTGTGATACAAAACTAAGCATAAATGTGGGTCCACAGCTTTCGGAGAATGCTTTCCAATGACATGTGAGGCATCCCTGTTTGAACAATAGCATTTACAATCCGAGGACAAAATAGAGCATGGCCAGATTAATCGTACTTAACTGCATTAACCTTCAGCTCAAATCTTGATGAAGTGAAACTGACCACTGGAAATTAACATGCATACATCAACTAAGGGACTCATGTAAAATTCCAACTGGTTTCCAGCTATGCCTATAGGAACCCCAGAAATAATGGCAGGGTGTGTGTGGGGGGGGGGTCTGTTTGACATAATGAATTAACTGCTTTTCTTTAGTTAATAGTTCCAGAAAACTACTTACAGCTGGCTCTGCGTTCATGACATCTACCAGTTGACATGTAGTGGAAGTCAGAAAGATACTCAACAAAATTTTATGAGGGGTTAGGGGGTGGACGCAGTGGTGGAGAGAGCAGTTTATTTGAAATGTAGGAAACAGTAACAGAATGAGAGATGTGATAAAACTTCCCTAAGTAGATGGTGAATCTCCTGCAGTAAATGGAGAAAGATTATTTTACATTTTTGTACAGCGACATCAGGCCGTGGAGAAATCTCTGAGGTTCTGATGGGAAGTATTCATCATCAACAGGGCTAAGAACCAATTCCAAATACGTCCAGGAAGGAAAATGGTCTTCGTATTTACCGAAAGAGAACTGGGAGTTACAGTTAGCTGTTGACTGTTTGGCCTTGACTGTCTCTGCAGAGCAAACAGAGAAATCGGGGACCCTAAGAAGTGTTCAAAGGATGCGTATGAACACAGGTGCTGTGTGTGCCTGGATTTCACGGGGACTGCACCCCCAGGGCACGCCCACCTGGGTATCTCTTCCTTTGGACCAGAAGTCACAGACTTGCATTGGGTTAGGCATCAATGGACCATCCCAGAAGCGACAAGGAGGAGATGGCCCTCTGTCCATAAAGGACTAACGTTTTACACTGCAGGGCTCAGAAGGCTTTAAAAATTCTTATTTTGGAAGCACTGCAAAGTCCGGATAACCAAACAACTAGGTGGTTAAACTGTGGTCACAAATCCAAATGCAGAGACGCCTATTTTCTCTTCATAACTGAAGGGATGTGTTCCAATAACTCATTTTTTAAGAGAGTTGCTTTAAGGTACTGATTTGCCAGAGGCCACCAAGTTATTATTCAATAAAGCAGCCCTACAGCATTTTTAAGAAATGAATAAACCATGGAAGAAAGGAGGCACAGAAATATTGAAATGAAGTGGACAGGCACATGGCCTTTTCCTCCTGAAAGAGTAGTCAAGAAATAAGAAACCTGCTTTTAGAAAATTTTTCTTTTCTTTTTTGCAGCTGTGAATTGTGGGCTTTTCGGTAATGCTGAAAGAAATACTATCTTTCTTAAAGGTATTTCAGTGTCCTAGGAATGGATACTGACTTTATGAGGTCTACTTTCTTTATTTTAATAAGGCAAGGGAAATGTGTATGTAGTGATGGGAGTGAATCCATGGCCCGCCCACAAAATCCCACCATGCCCAGGACAGAGGGCTCCTCTCTGCCTTCAGAAGAGCTCAGCCTATAAACGGGGCTTGCAGTCAGCCATGCAGGCAGTGCAGGTGCCTGAGGAACAGCTACGCAGGATGCTTTATTGACTAAAACTTTTTCCCAACAAGTTGTAAGTAAACAGGGGCTAGGTGACTGGAGTAATTCTGGATAAGTCACCAGGTCTATTCATGATTTTTGGTAGTGTGTTTTATTTAGAGAAAGTGGATAATGTGTTTAAGATGCTTGTTTGGTTTAATGAATCAGAAAAGCTTAAGCAAATGAGCTGAATTTCAAACTTTGATCTGTGATGCTGAGAATCTAAAAGTGATAACTGAAAATAGATTATGCATATATTCAAATGTACCAACCTATGTGATTTCTCCATCATTTGCATTATAATAGTTGCAGCTAAAAATGAGACAAATTAGGTCGTCATTCATTTTTTCATTTCCTGTTATTTTGATTAATGGAATTATTTATCCAGCTTAACTATTTTAAAATAACATTTAGAATAATAAGAAATAAACTATTAATCATAGCCTTTAAATTTTGGCAAGGAATCCAAACAAATCGAAACACCAGATTTCATATTTCAGCAGTCACTCTGGTCTTTTAATAAATCCCAAAACCATGAGGCTGGGGGGAATAATCTTTCTTGGTTTCAAATAGCATTTTAATTTCCAATGTTTAACAACAATGCAACAACAAAAAATTTCTCAGTAACACTAAAGAAACTTCCTAGTTTTTCCTCTAACATCCACAAGACAAAAACACCCAGATTTCAACATACTGTTTTCAAAGTGTTCTTTCTAATGATGAATGCTGCTGATTACTAGAAACTAAACATTTATTCAGTCCTGCTGAATAGATGACCAAGCATCTTTAAAAGACAACACGCACAAGCTCTTCCCCTCATTTAGGATTTGATTTGGAGGACTGGTGGTTAATCCACAACACAGGAAAAGCACCACGAACAAGCACCAGTGGCACCGCTGGGCTGGGAAGAATCACCCACAGGTGTGGGTGCCCTCACGGGCGGGCTCCTGGGGCCCCAGGCCTGGACCCTCTCACCATCTTCTGGCTCGTCTACGATCGAGGCAAAAGGGTGAGATGCCTAGAGAGGCGTGCTCACAGCACAGCTTACGGGCAGCCCTGCTATTTACCCTGCGTCTCCGCCTGCAGCTTTCAGGCATCCTTTCCACCCTCACCACCTACCAAAGGAAGGTGTTCAGAGAAATGACTGCTCAACTATCTGGTTTTCATGGCGTGCTCTTTTTTTTTTTTTTTTTTTTTTTCAAGACAGACTCTCACTCTGTCACCCAGACTGGAATGCAGTGGCATCATCTCAGCTCACTACAACGTCCACCTCCCAGGTTCAAGCAATTCCCTGCCTCAACCTCCCGAGTAGCTGGGATTACAGGCATGTGCCACCACGCCTGGCTAATTTTTGTACTTCAGTAGAGACGGGGTTTCAGTATCTTGGCCAGGCTGGTCTTGAACTCCTGGCCTCATGATCCACCTGTCTCAGCCTCCCGAAGTGCTGGGATTACAGCGTGAGCCACCACACCCGGCTTGTGGTCTTAAAGTACATGTTTGTAACACAGAAGAGGCTTAAATAGTTCATGTGCTGAAAAAGACTACTACTAGTGTCACCAGGAAAGGAAACTACTTTATTTCTCCTCAAGCTTCAGGTGTGTGCTAATGAATGAAACCAACTTTAATTGATTTATTTATTTATTTTATTCTCAACTCTGACCTATGGGGAAATTAATCAACTTCAGCAGATTCACTCTGCCCTCGTGCCTGTTGAATTGTTTCACTGAGATAGACGGTATACTGTAATTTATCAGAATTTTCCAGTATAGAATATTCAAATATTAATATAGCAAAATAAAGGCAGTTGTTCGTTCTACAAAAACCAAGAATGTCTGCCTACCACACAGAGGGCTTCTGAACAGAACGTAGCAAACGACGTAACTGTACCTATCCTGACAATACTTTTCTCAAACTCACAGTTTTCCTGCATCCTCTTTTTAATGAATAATTAACTACAAGTCTCTTAAACCAAACAAAGAGAAGCATGCTGGCAGGTTCCAACAAAGCCACAAGACACCAAGAAAACATGCCATCAAATTGAGTTCATAAGCAAAGTCTACTAACCAGCTTATCAATGACAGGCATCTGTCTACACAAGCATATGTGTGTAGACATGTTCACGTGTGCTCACCACAGAAATGCTCTCCAAGCATGAGTTTCCTCCAGTTATGAAGGAAAATGGCTTAATTTTGGAATAAATAACAAAAGGTAACACTGAATGTGTGCTTTGTGGTGTATGTTCTAACTTGATCCACAGCAAATATACAACATAAGCACCACTGTCATTATTTTATAGATGAGGAAACTCAGGTCACATCATATGTCTAAGGGGGAGGATCAAAGTTAACGCCTCTACTCAATAACGCAATGTATTAGTCACTGATAGTATCTGGGCCTCTCCGAGTAGAATTGGCTGACCTTAAATGAATGTAAATGTTGATAACTATTATATACATAGTCTCTGCCAGGATCTTTCCTCACCACTTTAAACCCGTGTCTTCACCTGCTTGTTGGACATTCCTACCTGGGTTTCCACGCCACTCTCAAACTAACCTTGAATTCTATCTGGAAACATCAGCTCCTCCTTCCAGCCTTGGGGGACTGGATGCTCCCTGGGACCAGCTGCCTGACGCCAGACCTGGGGTCAACGTGATTTCCTCCTGGCCCTCACTTCCCACATCCAACCCCTATGTTCCGGTCCCTCAAATCTACCTGCTCTCCAGCCCATGCCAGCTCAGGACACCTTGTCTCTCGCTGGGATCCAGCTAAGCGCCTCCAAAGGGACTCCTGCCACTAGGAACCACGAAGCCCATTCTCAGTGGCACGTGACCTGCTCACTCATCTCAAGCCACAGCTCTGACAGTGTCAGACCTGCCTCAGGCTCTCTATCACTGTGGCCAGAAATTCATGAGTCTCAGCAAGGAGACCCAGTGCTCTTTAGACCCCAGCCCTGAGCCTCCGCCCACCTGCTCTGGCTCCCCTGCCTGAGCTGACCTCCACCCAGCTCCTACAATGCAATGTGCTCCTCCACTTGGGGCCTTCCACGGGCTGAGCTCTTCGGGAATGCCCATCCCTCTGCCCTCATGGCCTTCCAAGCACCTCCAGCCTGGATGGCAGAGCCCTTTCCGTGTCACAGCGCTGCCCTGCTCTGCCCTGTTTCCTCGACTAAGCCACCCAAGGACCTTTTGAACCAGAGAAGCAGGAAAAATGGTGATCTCACCTCCCCAGTATCCTGCACAGGCCTGGCACACAGTGGATGGTCAATGAACACTGCTCATGAGCGAATAAATGATTATCAAATGGAATTTCTAAATACTGTTTAAATAATTTAGCATCTATTATGTATAACTTATAAAAGTCCATCGACTTTAGGTGTCACATCAAATAATTTCTGCATGAATACACAGTGTTGCATGATCCAAAAAAACACTGCCATGATCCCTAGCATCTGAAGCCCGCAGGAAAAGAATCTGGTGAAACATGAAGGAATGTTAGTGAAATACTCTCAACACGAAAAAGAACATGGCTGCTAAAGTATGAATCACATTCTAGACATACAGAACTACAAAATGTGCTTCCATAAGTCTATAAGGTATCCTAAATTTAACACAGCCATTGTGATTTCTGTAAACAATAGAACTATAGGATAAGAACAAAGAACCCTAAGCTTTAAACCTCTGCCTATTACTGACGTGGTTTTCAATTATCCTAGCCAACAAAGCTCTACGGGAATGCTTAAAGATACAGTTCCAAAGTATGTTAAGGAAAATGGAATTTCCTCAGAGAATCAGACCATTCAGTGGTAAATCACCAAAAGCTACTTTAAATATAATGAAAGACAAGAAGTCCTATCAGAGGCCGTGATCTCAGATACAGAATTCAAGAAGCCAGCCGCCGTAGCCAGAGACGCATACAAATCTAGCTCCACGTTAATGCCACAGCCTGAACTGCCACCGTCCACTGAATGAAAGGAAAGCTGACCCACTGAGATCTTCACACAACAGTTAACACATACGCTGAGTCTGAAAGCCACGCGAACTCAGACCACAATGTTGAGTTACTGGGGGCTTGAAACGAAGGGCTGGTATGAAGTCTAAAGAGACAAAGACGATATAAATACATCTTTTCTATATCAGAATCACAAATGAACAATTATTCTAAACTCCCAGCATAACCAGTAAGTAACACAGAGATTATTTAAAATACAGTCTAAATGCTTTGCTTTTTGATCTCCTATTTCTCCCTGGGACAAAAGCCTTTTCAAGAGGCTTAGGTGGAATTAATAGCCAGCAAATAAACTGATAGGCATTCCTCAAGAATCTCACCAACTTGTTCATAGACCTGGCTTCCCACGCCTGTCAAACACTCCAACCAAAAGGCCAGGTCCTGGGTGGGTTTAACGAGTCACCTGTGTGAGCAGAAACACCTGTGGCTCACCCCAGCTGTAACATCAACTTGTAATTCACCATGACGGCCTGACCTTGCCGTTACCACACCCCACAGACACATTATGGTGACTCTTTTGTGTCAAGAGGGTTTTATTTCTTTAAAAAGGACAAGGCAGCTGCAGTGGAGGCCATGCGTTTGGAAATTTTTCCATTCCGTTTTCAGCAAGATGCTGTCTTTATTTCATAAATTGTCATGGCATTGTATAACTATGGGTTTTATTAAGAAAGGCCGAAGCTAATTATTTAAAAATGGTAATAAATGGCAAGGCTTTCTGTCAACAATACATGAAGCAAAGGCTTTTAACAACACATAGAAATTCTAACCAGGCAATAACTTAAAAAAAAAAAAAAAAATCCCTAATCAGGTAACGTCAATTCTACAGCCAGCCCAGCTCAACCACTAATTAGCAGGGGCCCTTGGTGAAGCCATTTCATGCCTCTTACCTTTTTCCGCTAGAAATAGACTAGAATGATTCTCAAGTTTCCTTTGAGACCTCACTAGATCATACAGAGTCTCGAGATCCCTTGGAGGTCTTAATCGCCCTCATCCTCACAAGCAACTGGGAATCCCGCAGACTACTGGATTTGTCAGAGCAGGGGACACTGAATTCGACCACCCAGACAGGGCTTGACTCTCATGGCCAAGAAACCCTTTCCTCAATGACAAAGGGGAGAGGAGTTTGTCTTTGGAGGGAGCCAGATGTTCTTTAGAGAAAGCTTGTGCAACACGGGTGTGATGTCCTCCAGGAGAATAACACGAGACCACCATGAGGGCAGACACCCTCAGCCGAGAGAATGCAGGAGACTCCTGCGGGCTGTGGGTGGGGGCCTCGCTACTTTAGAGCAGGACTCAGGACCACGAGCCTGCCGCTCTGTGTACACTGAGTGGTGTGTGCACACAGGTCACACCTGCAGGGGCAGGTGCATCCCAGGCACAGGCACACACTTTCAGGCACTCTGGCCAAGCCAGTCATGTTGGTAACACAGAAACAAGGCACAACACTGGACATGAAACTTCTCTTACAGAGTAACACAGAAAGAATGTTCCTGAAGGAGGCTAACCATGATTTGTTCTCAAGCAAACTCCTACCCAGAAACATCTTGGAAAAAGTGAGTCTGTAGTGTTTTCAGTCACCGCCAGTCCGTCCTGACTCCCTACTCCCCAACACAACCGACACCCGGCACCCTGCAGCCCCCGCAGGGGAGGACCCCTGTGTAAGGACTGCCCACAGACTGCTCGGAAGGGTCAGATCCCAAGTCAAAGCGATAAAGAATGATTTACACATCTAGTGAAGAAAACAAATAAAGAAGGTCATGCTTCAGTGATGAGCATCACAGCCCACCTTTTCCCAGCTACCGCATCAAAACCCAGACAACCAATTCATCATGAGACCTACTTGTTTGGGGGCATCTGCAGGGGTGGCATGAACTTCAGAACCCCGGGGTCCATCAGACTCAAACACCACTGTGGGAACAAGCAGTTTGTTAACAGATGAGCATGTGAGCTTCAGAACGTGCACGTTAAATGAGTCCATTACAGATTAAGTACTTTCCCCCCCAAAAAAGACACCAGCGCCTAGCCTGTGGCTGGAAAATACCAATTTACCGTTAACACTTACAGTAAGAGACTGTGATAATGGCTGCCTGGGGCCACTGCCCTTTTTAATTCCGAGCTCGCAGCTGAAGAAAGCAATCACTGACAACATTAATTATCGGTGTGTGTAAGGGGCCCTCGTCTTGCATTACTTACCATTTGGCCTGTGCCATCCTGCATCAGAGCAGCTTCTGTGGGCATCCTTCACACTCCTGATAGAGACCCCGTCTCCCCGCCTGTCTAATGTCCCTGCGCTGCCTGATGGTTCCCAGCCTGATCGGGTTTAAGCTCCCTACCCACACAAGGGCCGAGGGATTCTGCAGCCCATCCTGCCCGGCCCCAAGGGGGCCAGGTGTGTCCCACAAAGTCCAGTCGGTGCCAGCGAGGACACCAAACCAAGCCTCGGCTGTGCTAAAAGGGTGCTTTGATGAAATGTGTGCTGGGGGCAATGCCGTTCATTAACATATTCATCTCTGAGGAGTCAGCGACTCTCTAATTAAAATGGAACACTCCAGACAGATTTACCTCAAATTAAACCACATGGCACATGGATACCAAAAAACCCCTTTCAGGTGTGGAGTGGGGGCAGCCGGTGTAGGATCCCAGAGGCAGACGGCAGCGCCCCCACCTGGAAGGGGCTGAAATCTCATTATGTCCCTGGCTGCAGACTGTCAAGCGCAGACTGAAGAGACCCCAGTTCCTCTGCTCCCCTCGGGGACAGTGGACAGGAGGGCGATACCTGAGTGTGCCCGCATGTGGGCCCTGAGGTGGCCGGGCTGGTGGAAGGTCTTTCCGCACTCGATGCAGACGAAGTCTCCTGGCCGGGCCTGCGTCCGGAGCGTCCCTGTGGTGGCGAGGAGGAGGTGGTGGTGGTGGTGGTGGCGGTGGCAGTGGCGGTGGCAGTGGCGGTGGCAGGGCGGTGACAGGGCCGTGGCGGGGTTGGCGTGGAGGTGAGGAGCAGGAGAGCGAGAGGGAAGTGAGAGGAAAACATCATTAGTCTGTCTAACGTGTCATCATGTGAGGCTCCCTTCAGGCCCTGGTGACAACTGTCAGCCTTCATCTCGGCTCTGCTGACAGGCCAGGCACTCTCAGGACTGCAAGGATGCATAAATTACAGTGAATTAAAAACCGCTCCCCGGGACGGGAGGCACCCGCCAGGCTGTGCATCAGGCTGTGCGGCTCCGAGCATCTGCGGGCTGGGCCCAGCCATCATGCTGCCCTGTCAATTGGCACATCCAGCAAATCACAGTGACACCGCATGACAGAGATGAGGCTCACGGAAAACAGGGAGTGAGCGGGACAAGAGCCCACTACGACCTGGCCGCAATCCCGGGAGACCCAAGCAGAGCAAGTTAGCCACCAGGCGGCCCGCCTCTGGCCCCCTCTCCTGCCTGGCTGGGCGGCTCTGAGGCCCTGGCCCCAGCAGAGGGCAGGGGACACCTGCGAGCGCCAGGCAGCAGACCCCCAAGGTGCATGCACCTGCTGGCCGTCGGCAAGGTGGGAGGTCGCCAAGCCCCACGTTTTCCCCAAAGACGACGTGATGCCCCCTCGCAGCACTCAAAGTACTGGGCTTTGCGCTTCCCTCTGACCCAGAACGCCACACTTTATCCGCAGAGGGAGGCAGAGGGGTCTATTTATCTGCACCCCTTCTCTCTCTGAAGAAAAGGCTTATTTTCCACGTGCTGGTAGCTCCAAGGAAATTTCCCTGGCTGTGAGAGTCACTGTCATGCTCGATAGTAGCTCAGTAGGAAAAAAACAAATAATAACTAGAAAAAGTAATTTTTCGCAGTAATTTTTTCAAAAGCTGTTTTTCACAACAGTTTTTATGCATCTAAAGGCTGACACTTGAGTGTGAACAGCACATGAAGAGAATGACCAAAGGCGCTTTAGTCAAATTGGTTGAAAACAAACCTTCAATATTGTTTCTCTTCCCCAAATTCAGAGAAGCTCAAAAGGTAAAAACATGAAGTCATGTTTACACTACAGATCGTGCTTATAGAAATAATAAAGAAATGCAGGAACTGTGAGGCATGTCTTGTCAGAGTTCCTCCATGACAGATCGTGAACCTGAATCCGAGCGTGTAACGCCTTAGCCTCTGACTGCTCAGCGTTCCCACGGCCTCACGCACAGAGGAGGAAGAAACGTTTCAGTCAACACTCACATTAACAGGGGACCGCTGCGGTGGCTCCGGCCTGTAATCCCAGCACTCTGAGAGGCCAAGGCGGGAGGACCACATAAGCCACGAGTTCAAGACCAGCCCGGGCAACAGAGCCAGAGAGCTCGTTCCTACTAAAAACGTAAAAGCTACCCACGCAGGCGGTGGTGCACGCCCACTCGGGAGGCCGAGGTGCGAGGATCACGTGCACTCAGGAGGTCAAAGCTGCAGGGGGCCGAGGTCACACCGCTGCACACAGCCTAGGTGACAGATTGAGACTCTCTCTTAAGGAAAAGGGGAAAGAGAAAAGAAGAGGAGAGAGAAAAGAAGAGAAGGGCAACGAATGGAAAGGAGAGGAGACGGATGGGGAGGGGAGATGAGGAGGGAGGAAACGGAGGAAGGGGAGGGGAGGTGGAGATGGAGGGGAGGGGGAAGGGAGGGGGAGCGGGAGGGGAGGGGACAGGGGAGGGGAAGGGAGGGGAAGGGGAGGGGAAGGGGAGGGGGAAGGGGAGGGGAAGGGAGGGAGAGGAGGGGAGGAGATGGGAAAGGGAGGGGGATGGAGGGGGAGGGGAGGGGGGAGGGGAGGGGGAGGGGGAGGGGAAGGGGGGAAGGGGAAGGGGAAGGGGGATGGGGAGGGGCGCAGGAAGGGGAGGGAGGGGAGGGGGAGGTGGAGGGGAGGGGAGGGGAGGGGAGGGGAGGGGAGGGGAGGGGGGGAGGGGAAGGAGGGGGGGAGGGGAGGGGAGGGGGGAGGGAGGGGAGGGGGGAGGGGAAGGGGAGGGGAGGGGAAGGAGAGGGGGAGGGGAGGGGAGGGGAGGGGAGGGGAGGGGAGGGGAGGAGAAGGGGAAGGGGAAGGGCAAGGAGAGGGGGAAGGGGAGGTGAAAGGGCAATGGAATTGGGAGTGGGGAAGGGGAAGGGGAAAGGAAAAGGGGGGCAGGAAGGAAGGGAGGGCAATTTTTTTTTGAAGCAGTCCCCTAAGGGGGGGCTTTATAATTTGTTCCCCATTCATCTGCATTGTAAATGCCACCCAGTGGCACTCCTATGAAACTAATTTCTGAACACTTCAGTTGTCTGGATATTCCTAGGTACAATCTAGACTGCGTCTACATGTGGATCTCACCACACCTACACAAGATACTAACGACGACAACATGCAATGTCATCCTGTGTCTTACATTCACAGCTTTCAAAAGCTAAGTCATTATTATCGTTTCTTCAAGCAATTATTGGAGCTATTTCCTATCCAAATGGGCAACAGAGCCAACAGGGACAGCCCTCCCACGGCCCCATGCTCACCTCCTTGAATTAAGTGTGGATGAGTACACGTGCGCACACACACACAGGTGCACACACTCACAAGTGCACATGCACATATGATTTTCCCAAACATTTTACTATATCACTTTCTCGTATCACTTTCTCTTTACTTTTTAGAGACAGGGCACTTGCCCTATGGTCAGTGCTATGATGCCCAAGCTACTCCACCACTGCCAGTTAATCAAAAACATTCCCAACTTCATTTGCATTGAAGGCCAGCTGGTGAGCACACAGCTCCAATGTTCTGACCTCAAAATTCAAGTTGTGTTTGGAATGCGGATTTAACAGTGAAAGAAAAAGGTCTGGGGAACTTTGGAGAGGGACAGCGGCCCTGCGAGGCTGCATGCTGTTATGTGGTGCTACACCATCCACAGAGAAAGAGGAAAAGAGAGAGATTCTACAGAGATCGCATCGCAAGGAAGCACGGAGCTCTCATCGCCATAGCATGAAGGCCTCCTTGGTATACATGATTTTTTAAGTCCCAGTAAGAAATACCATCTAGAATTATCTCATTTGATTAGCTTCAATTTCTTATTCTAAGATTTATCATCTAGGCTGGCCATAAGGTCTGAGAACACACATACTGTGCTACGACTGCCGTAGCAATAAACCCTTTACGTTCTGTTCCTCTATGTTTACAGACTTGGTAGTCACACTGCAGATACAGAAAACGCAGTGGGTCTTAGATCTTCTCAAACGTTCAGAGAACCCCTAAGGGAGGTAACAATAGTTCTTTCCTTCCTCTTTGGGTAGAGTCTTTAGACTCTGCTTATCTACAGAAACATCATCCAGTCAAACGCACATGGTGGGAGAGGAAGTCTCTGAGACTTCTGTTTCCTAACTTCTGAACAAAAGCTGTCTTAGCGGTGTCCTCCAATAGCAATATTCTCTTTATACATGGAACGTGGCCACTGCAAAATCACAGAACACACTTCTAGCACCCACAACTATTGCATGTTCACGTGAGATGACTTCTTATGCTCGGAGACCATTCTCCTCTGTGTATTCCTACCTCCCAAAATACAAAATGGTGCTATAGCAGCATGTCTGATCAACGACCACGGATAGGGAAGCTGTGGTCTTCTGATCTGCAGATGACACCCAACTAGGAGACATCTAACAGATGCATGGGATGAGGAAAGAAGACCGAGAACTACAGACACGCTTATATAATAAGACAAGTTAGAAAGACCAATTGACCAAGGGAGGAATGAAACAAGATTCTACACTCATGACTCAAAAATCAACTACAGGCACACCACAGAAAAACAAACAGCTGGACAGAAAAGTCGAAGAAAAAAAGTCCTAGGGAAGTTTAGTTACTCCAATATTCAGCAACACCCAAAAAAGTAACTCTAGCCTGCACAGATTTCCCGGGCTGGAAATCAAGTCTCCGCAACAGGAAACATTCACGTTCTGGTCGCCTTTCCAGTAGTCAGAACACGCCGAGGCTGCTGGGTTCCCTTCTGGCTACAACGATTTAAGGGCGTCAAAAACAAACATTCAAGTAAGGAGAAAGGAAACGTGGAAGGTCCTGGAGACCAGGCAGAGGACGGACGGGGAAGAGGGATGCTGGGTCCAGGAAAGGCGAGAGAGGAGTGCCTGAAGGTTTGGAGGACCACCACACAGGAGAGCTCTCGGCCAGTTCTGATGGCCTCCGCAGAGTCCTGCAGGCAGCGGCCACTCACCAAAGCCGGGGCCCAGGAGGTGCCGCGTCCCTCACCGGCGGGGTCCCATCTGGAGGCCCGGGGCTCTTCTCGGCTCTTCTCAGGTGTGCAGACCGAGCATCTAGATGGGCCGGCCTCAGGCACTCTACCCCGGGAAGCTAGGATTCTAATAATGCACCTACTAACTGGCGTATTCTAAGACAAGAAAGATGAAAGGCCTGCCCTTAAGAAACGCAATTGAGAGTAGACTTAGTAACCAAAACCGTGCTGACTCACACTATGTCTCAATGTGAATGTGCTGGAAGAATAACCAACCCAGGATGAGCGGATATGCTTTGTGACTAGTGCTTTTCGCATAGGAAAGGCAAGTATTTCGCCTCTCTCTTTAAACAAAATGCCTTAAAACCGTTTATCTTTTTAAATGTCTAAGAAAAGGAAAAATATTTCAGCCTACTTTGGCCTTCAAATTCTATCATCTGACATTTCAAAACCTTACAACTCACTTCTACTTCCTTAGAAACGTCAACTACACCGGCCACAGGGCAGCTCCAGGGCCTTTTAAGAAGCGGGGACGCACCTTCCAGGTGTCAACCGACAGCTTTAGAACTCTCGGGGGGAGCAGGCTGTGAGTGCGTGACTGATTCACTCAGGAGTCTGGGGGAGCCAGCGGGCGTCAAACCCACCCGTTGCTCTGCGGGGAGGTGGCTGCCGGGGGAAGGACGGAGCGGGCCAGCCGGGGGCACCCGGCGTCCTCAGAAGCGCAGCCCTCCCCACTCAGCCTTCCCTGCTTTGGGTTCCAAGAAAACCTGCATCTCCAGAAGTGACGCTGGCATCACGTCAAAAGGCCACCAACAAACTTCCTGTCCACTTAGCGGCAAATAAGCTGCATGACTGAAAACCCTGCCGTGGCCGAGGGAACTCACTCGCTTTACCTGAACGTGGAAAAAGTCGAGGCATCAATCCGCAGGATGCCGCATTGTGCCTCCCACCCACGACAGCCTCCGGAGGTTACACCATCTGCCCAGAGCCCACGGGCAGGGAGAAGAAATGAGGATCTCAGACCAGGCCTCAGGGACCCCAGTTCCCAAGTCACATCTCAGCCCAACACATCCCACGAGATGCCTGGGTGTCCAGGCCTTGGTCTCATCCTAAAAAGTTCACAAGGCCGGGAGCGGTGGCTCACACCTGTAATCCCAGCACTTTGGGTAGCTGGATCACAAGGTCAAGAGTTCGAGACATACTAGCTAAATGGTGAAACCTCGTCTCTACTAAAAATACAAAAGCTAGCCGGGCGTGGTGACACACGCCTGTAGTCCCAGCTACTCGGGAGGCTGAGACATGAGAATCACTTGAACCCCGGAGGCGGAGGGTGCAGTGAGCCAAGATCAAGCCACCGCACTCCAGCCTGGTGACAGCGCAAAACTCTGCTCAAAAACACAAGTTCACAAGCACTCAGCAGGTTCTTCAAAGCAGGAATGTAACCAGGATGGCTGGAGGAAGGCCTTGGCCGGCAGAATCTGTAAGAAGGCAGCAGCCCGCGACGGCTCCTACTGGAAAACATCTTGGGTGAGCGTCCCTCATGCCTCAATACCACCTCAGCCGGCCAGGGATCTAGGCAGGCTCTGAATGCCGGCTAATCCAGGAGCTCAGCAGGTGACCCCAGCACCCACTGGGACATTGTCCCACGGTGGATTTAGGGGGCCCTCTGCTGACATCTCACCTCCCAGACCCGGAATCATGCCCCGACAGTCCCACGAGCTGCCCTCAGAGGCCATTTCTAATGGGGACCACTTTCAGAAACCGCAGGCTTTGATGGACAATTCTACCCAAGAATGGTTAGCCCTCCCAGGTGATGAACTCAGAGACTTTGCTTTCTCTTTTAACAGAACTTAGGTTTTTAGTGTTCTGGATGTTAAGGGAGAGTGACCTTCAATCTATGTTCAAGGGCAGGGCACTGTCCAGCGTGTGCCCAGAGGAGCAGGAGGCAGCTGGCAGGCCCTTCTCATGTTTACTACCAGAGAGCAACACTAAGTCACAGGGAGAAGCGAAGATAACCCTTTTCAGGTATTTTTTTCAGGAATTTTTGCATAAATTCAATTCTCCAGACTTTACAAGGTAAATACATCCTCTGCAAAGCTTTGCTTACTAATACTAGAGCACTCATTAGGCATTTTTTAATTATAGATATATAAAAATAAAACTCAATCGCCCTGAATGAATACTCTTTGTCTTCTGAGAGACAAGGACAATGAACGTCTACAGATTCTTTGTTTAAAGTGACAGAAACATGGTGTGTGAGCTGCCTGCTCCTGTGGAATTTCGATGTGGAAGAAACATTCTCAGCAGGAAGCAGGGCTTGTGGCCTCCTCCCAGGGCCAGCATGCAGAGGGCCACCAAGCCCAGGCAGCGTTCCTGAGCGGGGCAGAATGCAGAGTCTGGAAGAGCTCTCCACACCCGCTGTGCTCCCAGGCCAAGGCAAGGGAGCAGCTCTTGGCTCCGCAGGGGATGAGGCCGCCTGGCTCTGCCCTCACAGGCCTTGGGCAGACAGGGGTCAGCAGCCCTGGCCTTCCCAGGCTGGCTCTGGAGGTCTCACGTGGGCCTAGGAAGAGGGGGCCCACACATCTTACCTCTGTGCTCCAGCCCAGGGCCACCAACGCCCCAGCCCTGGTAGAGGGTGGCGAAGTCCTTTGGAATGTACGTCTTAAAGATGTTGAGGATGTCCAGGCGCTTCTCGTGCCCCTCAGCCACCGGCTCCTGTTTGATGGAGTGTAGGATGGGGGGTGCCCCAGCAACAACGGGCTGGGCCTGCAAGGCCACGTCACCCCTGGACCCCGCAGCACAGGTGGCCAGAGTCCTCAGCTCCTGGGCCGCCTTCGAGGGGGGCTCACGGGGAGGTAGAGGAGGGGCACCCCCTTCGCCCTTTGCAGGAGGTGGACCCTGAGGCTGAGGGCTGAATTTGGCTTTCAGGGAGTCCGGGGCACTGTGCTTATTTGCAGGGACAAAGCCGGCCCCCGCCGGGGGGACCCCAAACTTCTCCACGGGCTTGCTGTTGGTCGAGGGCTGAGTGCCCGCCCGGGTGATGACAGTGGGCGTGGGGGTAGTGCTCCTGCTGAAGCCCCCGCCACCCGGGGTGGGCACCGGTTTGGAGCCTGCCTCCTGCCTAGGCTTGGCCAGGGGCCCCTGTGCGGCCACACCATGTAGCTCCTGGCCGTGACAGGGTTTGGTCTGTCGATACCCGTCAGGGCCGGGCGCCCACAAAGCGCAGGGGCCTCCGGAATGGCTCTCCTTATTCTTAGGCATGCTAGCGGCTTTCGAGGCCACTCCCAGGGGAGAAGAGCCACTCTTGGGCCCCGGCACCCCCCCTGGCACCTGAGTGCGGGTGAACCGAGCCAGGAGCAGAGGCTGGCATTCTTTGCCACCAAGGGCAGGCGGGGGGCCCGTGCGTCCGCTCCGGGGAAGGAAAACCAAGTTACTTCTGATGCTCTTGTAACCCTTGGGCTGGATCCACGGGGGAGCCACGGAGTTGCAGCTGACGCGATGCCAGATGCGTTTGTGCATCCACAGGACCTCGGGGTAGTAGGTCTTGTGGCTGCAGTAAGGACACGGGTGAATGACCAGCGCCGCCTGCAGGGAGGAGGCCACCTCCTTATTGCTGGGGTCATCCCGTGTCGACCTCACACTCAAATCCAGCGGCATGAGGTCTGGGGCCAGAGCCCTCTTCCCTCCCCCAGAGTGTTCCTTGTTGTGCAAATCAGACAGCTTCTCTGCAGGGTGACCCGTCTGGCCCTCCGCGCCCGTACTGGAAGGGAACTCCACACCATCGCCAGGGCCGGGCACCTCCTGCTTGGGCTGAAATGCTGGCATCTTTAAGTCCATAGAAAACCTGTGCTGCTCCTGCCTCCTACAAGTCTCTCTGCTACTGTTTTCAAGTACGGACACAGAAGCTGCGATCCCCGCCTTGGACTCGCCAGCGTCCCTTTCTGAGGCGTTCTCTCCCAGCTTGTGACTCTGGTCTCCATTGGAGAGTGCAGTCGAAGTCACCTCTTCGGAAAAGCAGCAGCGGCTCGGCTGTCCCCCTGGAGGAGGCAAAACATGAAATGGAAGTTACCATTCTCATCAGCACACGGTGAGACGCAGGGCGAGCACGGCCGCAGAGTACTCCAGGCTGCAGCTCTCTCCAGCTGGACAAGCCAGCCCGGAGTCTGGGTGGCTCTTAGCAAATCCATGAGGAGCCACCCAGACAAGAACAAGAAGGGGTTAAGTCAGGCAGGAGTTCTTTCCTCAACTTCAGGGACTCAAAAGATCACAAGGGAAAGCACGATAGCGCGTATCTCGTTAACGTGTATCTCGTTACGTGTAACTCCGCTGTCCCAGCTGACAGAGGGCGGCTGGCCTGCTAAGACCCAGGAAGAAAATGAATTGTTCCTAACAGTGTCAGTTTTGTATGACTTTCAAGGAACTCTGCATTTAATCTCTTGTGGAATCTTCACAATCATTCATGGCAGGGTAAGAAAACCAGAGAAGTGAGGCGGCGTCCACAGCCACAGAGGCAGGCTTGGCCGGCAGCTTACTCGCCAAAGGACCCCAGGGTCTGCCTCCGAAGCTGCTGGGCTGCGACCACCTTCCACCTCCGCCCGGGGCCCCACCCCTACGCATCCCTCCTGTGAGGTCCAATTCTCAAGCCTAAAACTCGACGCCACCAAGTGCCCCAGAGGCCCAGGAGCCAAGGGCAGCCGAGCTACCCGCCTCCACGCCGCCACCTGCTGGCTGCCCGGAGAAGCTCGGCGCCCGAGGGTCAGACGTGACAGTGTGTGACTGAGCCACCGTCCGGGATGGGCTCTGTGCCACGGAGGGCTGGTGCAATCCCAACCCTCCCACTTTACCTAAGGAACGCCGCGGGACGGGGAAAATGCCACCAAGGTTTAAGGCTCTGCCCAAGTTGGACGAGACCACATGCACTCGGACACAACACAGATTAACAGAAATTCGGTTTTATGTTTGCATTTACGGCCTTGGGTTTACTTAAATCTAGACATGGAAACTGTGAAGGCGTAAAGATGCTCCCGGGTTTCCGGAAACCTCTGAACTACAAAGAAAACACAGGCTTCCTCGCCGCCAGCTGCCACCTGCGGCCTCTCACCTCCGAGCCGGGCCTCGGTGGGTGTCTACTCACAACAAGTGCCCACGTGATTGGTTAAAGGTTTTTAATGTCCAGTAGAACACAGGGATCTGCTAACTCAGGACATTCTTTTAAAATGTTTTAACTATATTTTTGGCAATAACACTTAGGAATCCAAGTATATTTTTGGCAATAACACTTAGGAATCCCATCAAACTGGTAACAAACCTATTCCGATGGGTTCTTCATCGGGGTGCGAGCGCGCCTGTCGCTGAAGGTGCCTGCCCGGATCTCAGGGACACAGTACCAAATGCTGGTTTCCAGTTAGTGGGCAGTCAGTGAGCAAATCGCACAGCAATTTTAAAGGATCTGTCCGTGTTAAAGAATGTTAGCAGTAAGGATTCGTCAGCAGAACTGGTGAGATGAGACAAAAGAGGAAGAAACTCTCCAACACCTACCGGCTCCTAAAAGCCAATATTTAAATAAAGTCAGGGCTGGAAATGGTGGCTCAAGCCTCCAATCCCAGCACTATGCGGAGCTGAGGCAGGCGAATCACCTGAGGTCAAGAGTTTAAGACCAACCTGGCCAACATGGTGATGCAAAGATTAGCCAGGTGTGGTGACAGGCGCCTGAAGTCCCAGCTACTCCGGAGGCTGAGGCAGGAGACTCACTTGAACCTGGGAGGAGGCGGCTGCAGTGAGCCGAGGTCATACCACTGCACTCCAGCCTGGGCCACAGAGCAAGACTCCATCTCAAAAATAGTAACAGTAGTAATACAACATGATAAAAAATAAATCGATGAAGCCAGGTATATTAGTCCGTCATATGCAGACACTGATAAAAGAAAGGAGGCAGCAGCACTAGGACGCACCATGGGTCAAACATGCATTTCACCTAGAACTCAGCGCAGGAAAGAGGAAACGTTGGCCTTCATTTAAGTCAGAGTGGTGCTCAGTACATTCAACTCATTTTTAAATATTCGACGAAAAGCAACATCCGGCAGAGAGAGATCTCATTTTCCCCGCAGCAAAGGGACAAAGATTTCCAAACACACATGTTCAGGACTAGCAGTGGAATCTGTAAGCGGAAACAGTGCAGCTGTGTAACCTGCCGCTGTACATCTGTGAGGTTTGCAAAGACCGTCAACGCTTCCAAAATGTTCCCAACAGAATCACAAACATCACCTGGAACTGCCAGTACCTCTGACCAACACACTACATGATAAACTAAAAGCGAATAATCTGGCCGGGCACAGTGGCTCACACCTCTAATCCCAGCACTTTGGGAGGCTGAGGCGGGTGGATCACTTGAGGCCAGGAGTTTGAGGCCAGCCTGGCCAACACAGCAAACCCCATCTCTACTAAAAACACAAAACTTAGCCAGGCATGGTGGCCAGCACCTGTAATTCCAGCACTTTGGGAGGCCGAGGCAGGTGGATCACTCGAGGTGGATCACTGTACAGGCCAGCCTGGCCAACATGGCAAAACCTCGTCGCTACTAAAAATACCAAAATTATGGTGCTGTGTGCCTGTAATCCCAGCTACTCAGGAGGCTGAGGCAGGAGAATCGCTTAAACCCAGAAGGAGGAGGCTGCAGTGAGCCAAGACTATGCCACTGCACTTCAGCGTGGGCGACAGAGCCAGACTCTGTCTCAAAAAACAAAAAAAGTGAATGGTCTAGCCCAAGTTACCAAAGTCACTGGCGGGGAGTGAATGGAAAGATGCTTCTGGAACACAGACCCTGCAGAGTCCCGAGCCACCCCAGAAGGGGTGGGTGACACGCAGGACCATGCGGTCTCCACTGTCGAGAGGCAGGCGTGGGAAACAGAAGCTTCTTGCAGAAGCAGCTGATGGGCACAGACTGAAGAGCTTCCCAAGGAACTACTTCCTTTCCAAGGAAGAAAACGTGTCTAACTTGAGAGGCGCACGTCAAAGCCAAGACCACATGGATCCTCAGCAGCAAGGAACCAAGCACCTCTCCAGCCAGAGCCAGGACCCTCTTCCCGAACCCTCTTCCAGCTGAGATTTCTTCCGTTACAGGATCAGGGCTACTCAAACAGCAAAGGCCTCCAGCCAGCTCCTGACCAGGCCTCAGGCCTTGGCGTGCAGAGGTGCGGGCCCAAACACTCCCCACGTTTGTCATCAGAAGCCACAGAACAGACGCCTTTGCCCCTCGTCCCTGGCTCCTGGCCCCAGCGCTGCTGACAAGGACCCTCCAGGGCCCTCAATCACCGGAATAAACTGCCGTCAAGTCCAGCATGCCTGGCAAAGTGCTGTCGCCTAACACAGCCAAGGATTCCTTACAGCCAGGTCAAAACAAAAGTAAGATGAGGGGCCTCCCCAGCAGCCCAAGGGGACCACGACACCCATCCGCCGTTCCCAGGTTCCTGAGTGCCATTCTGACTTAATGTATCCCTTTTCCATAGTCCTCATTCTCATGGACTACGGCATTCCATCTACTGCACACGCGAGGTGAACCTCCCAGAGAAATAAGCTCCACCACTGGCAAACAGGGCTCCTCAGGGCACCCCCCGCAAGTGGCAGCAGGCACAGGACACACCTGCACCCCCTCCACTATCTCCATGCCCCCACCATGACCCACGCGCCCTCCTCCCTGGCCCCCACCCCCACACGGTTCCCATGCCCCCCTCCACGGCCCTCACGGCCCCCACCCCCTCCTCCACAATTGGGACCTGGCGTAGGTGGCTTCTGATGTTTCAGTGGCCCTGATCCGGAAATGGAAGGACTCAGTTAGAAAAGCCTCGGGAGGAGGGGCCCTGGCTGCCTGGTTAGGAAACGCCTGGTTCCGTGGCTCCCTTGCCGGGTGGGGAGGTCTGCGGGGCAAAGCACTTCTGCTCAGTGCCCCCCCATGACGGTCCCTCGGTGGCAGTGCTCACCAGGCACTTTATCAGATAAAGAGAACAGTGGGGATCTGAGCCTGGCGCAGCCGTGCCCAGATGGCTGCCTTTGACCCTGACCGCAGTGCCAAGAGCACACACCAGAGAGGGGAGGACTGGCTCAGAAAGGCCGGGAGGCGCCGGTGTAGACGAAGTGGGATCCGCGCCCCGTACTCCGGGGGCAGGGAAGCCCGCACCACGAGGAGCCAGCCGGGCCTCCGCAGCCCTGGGGAAGGCGCGCGTCACTCCCGACCCCACGAGTGTGCAGGCGCACACCACAGACGGGGCCACCCTGGCACTCTGCCCTCGGCCCACACAAGCAGGGGGCTCCCGGGTTCCTCAGTGGGACCTCCTGAACGTGTCTTGGACACACAAACGCGAGTGAGGGCTTGGACAGCTCCACTGCGCCCCAGGCTGGCCTGGCCTGGCTGGTGACTGCCGCTCACCACAGACGAGCGTGTTTCACAGGGGCCCCGGGAGCGGAGGACTTGTGCCGTCCAAAGTCCCCGAGACAAGGTCCTCAGCGCACACACGACCACCCTCAAAGCACTGAGATGCGTTCAGGGCGCTCTCTATGAAAACTTACTCCCCTTTCACTTAAAAAACATTTTATCGTAGTAAAATAGACGTAACAAAAAGCCTACGGCCACGGAGCCACGCCGAGGCGCGCCTTCCACGCTTACGGACGCCCTGCTCTCCCTGTTGGTCTTGTTTTCGGTTTTCCACTGGTTTTTAAAGCACTTGGCTCTTAGTGCACACCGCGCCTCTTCTCTTCTCTGAAAAATAAACCGGGCCCCAGGAGCGCCCTGCGGGCCGTCACTCCACGAAGTGCAATGCGCAGAAGCCTGGGTCTGTGCCCGGCTCTGGTGATGCCTGAAGAGCAGGGTCCTGCGTCTGGAGTCCCGCTGCACCCCCACGGGAGCTGCACCCCCACGGAGCAGCCGCCTCACTCTCCCTCCCTGGTCACCTGCAGGAGGCAGCGCCGGCCCCCAGCCGGGACCCTCGGGGCCCCTGTGCACTGACAGGGTGTCCTCCGGCCTGTTTCCTGAGCTGCTACTCCT